ACTAAGGATCGGGAGCTAAGAAATAGAAGGTTGGACTGAGATTAAAGTTTTGGAAGACATAGTGGTATGGAATTTTGTGCAAATCTTTTCGTTGACTATGGTTATGGTATTATGTTGTAAAATGAAATTTGAAGAGAATTCATAGTTTTGACATGTTGATACATCTTTTAATACCAAACACCTATGTGTAAATACTATTTTGAATTTTAACAACGTTCCTACTCGTTGTCCAAATTTCTGGCTTTGCCACCTATTAAAATTCTAAACCATAATGCTTAATTTAATAGCAATTAACATATCTAGTATACTAAATATTATAGTATGATGATATATTAGTTTTTATATATATATATATATATATATATATATATATATATATATATATATATATATATATATATATATATAGGAGTAGGATCAAATGAGAACACCTAAAAGGTTGAGAACGCGAGAACAAATCTTGACCATTTAAATACTTAAATCTAAGGTTATTATTAAACGGGTGATTTTTGAAAAATTCTAAAACTACTGACATTAAAGTGTAACTTTTAAATGGTCAGAAGGGCATAATTGGAATTGCAACTTTACCTATTTCCTATAATTTCTCATCATTTCACCTTCTTTCCTTTCATATTCCCGAATCTTTATCCCCCTCACTCTCTCTCTAGGGTTTCATAATAAAGCCGTCTCCCTCTATGAATTCGGTTCCCTCTTTCCTCTCTTCAACATAGTCGCTGCAGAAGATAAACACCACCACCGCAGATAACCGAATCCGTCAACAAAATAACCACCGGTATCATCATTCAACCTTGTTCCTGATCTCGTTTCACAGGTCACCACCACCGCGACACTTTCCTGATCTGATTTCACCGGTTGAACTGCATCTTAGACAATAAGCTAGTGCTCTCTTCACCGGTGCTGTTAATTTCTCTATTGTGTTGCCGAAAAACCGTGGTTTAAAATAAAGGTAGTGCTCTCTTCACCGGTGTTGTTAATCTCTCTACTAGTTTATATAGATTCAGTATTTGTTAATGGTTTAAAATAAAGAGCTAATCGATACTAGAATTTCAACTAATCGATACTAGTTTTTGTGTCTCGGTTCCAGAGGAAATGGAAATCGCAGCCCCCCTTCCATTTGTTTCAATTGATACAAGTCTGAGTATGATTTATTCCGAGTAACATGGGTTGAAGAAAAAAAATGAAGAGTACTCCTCCTCCTCTCTCATGCAGACATGAAAAAAATTAATGATTAACACAACAAAAATAGGGGCTTGGCTCTGTGAGTTTCTTATAATGTTTTTTAAATTGGATTTCTTTATTTGCTTCTAAAAATAAGGTGATAAAGATAGCATTTACTATTTTGGTTTTGTTAATAACTGTTTTGATTTGTAATTGATCACCTTCACGCAGACTTGGAATCAGATTCATTGGAAAAGGATGTGCATAGAAGCTATTTGATGAATTTTGTGAGAGAGATATGGTTCATTGAACTTAATGATATATGTAGTATGGGTTTTTCTGAAGGTCCTTTGGAATTTTTTGAGAAGTTGAAAGGTGAAGAATTTGAGCTTGAGGAGAATGAAAAACTGTATTATATTTTGGTGTATTCATCTATGACACAATATGTTTTTACATATGAATGTATTCATATGTGAATGAGTGTTTTCATGTGTGAATGAGTGTTTTCATGTGTGAATGTGTATTTATTTATGATTAGATGTATTCATTTTATGAAGAAATATTTAATTTTTACACTATTTTTATTTTGTATTTATTTATGAATAGCATCATATTTATTTGTGAATAGCAACATATTTATTTGTGAATAGCAGTGTGTTCATATGTGAATGACTGTATTTATTTCTGAATAACATTGTATTCATGTGTGAATAAGTGTATCTATTTATGATTAGAGTTATTCATTTTTTTAAGAAATGATAATTTTTACACTAATTTTATTTTTATTTGATGAAAAAGGCATTGGATTATTTGTAAATTGATGTTTATTCATTTGTGATTGGAGTCGTATTAGGTTTTTTGAATACAATTTTCATTTTTGAATACAATTGTATTGATTTGGAATTGAATTTCTATTCATTTTTTGAAAAAAAATGTGAAATACGAGAAAAAATTGATTTTTTTTAAGAAAAAAAATTAATTTTTTTTAGTTTTAAAATAAATTTTGGTAAAAATGTTTTTTATATTCTATTAATAAGAAAAATAAAAAATTGAATATTTATTTGTTTTTTGATAACTGATCCTAAATTTAAGGGATTTGATTGAATTTTATTTTATTTTAATTTAATTAAAATATACAATTACTAATATATCCTTATATATTGATTGGTGCAGAACTGTTCTCGCGTTCTCAACCTTTTAAATGTTCTCATTTGATCCTTTTCCTATATATATTATATATATATATATATATATATATATATATATATATATATATATGAACTTCGACATAAAAGCCAAAATAGGCTCCAATTATGATGACTTGTTTATGTTTGAAATGCTTTCAAAACTTGAAAGTCTTACGTTGAGTGACTTTCAAAACATGTTTGTAATAGGTTCACAGAAGCCAATGTTGATGGTCTATAGTTCTCATGACTTTCAATACCTACTTACAATTGGTTTACAAGACCCCATATGGATACTTGTGATAAGATTACAAGACCCAATGCGATGGTATAAGGTAGTGAGGAGTGGTGTCGTCGTTGCTGAGCACTACCTCAACTTTACCTCATCAACATCCAACTAGGAGAAAGACTCGGCAATGGGTTGCTGATGAAGATATTTTTTTGGGTAAATTACATCAATTGTCCCCGTGCATGTGTCAAAATGCACGTTTAGTCCTTATTTTTAAATTTTAACTCGGTTCGTATCTCGTTTGTTTTAAACTTGCACGCTTCATCATTGGTGCTAGCATGCTGAGCTCCACGTCATTGGTGCTGAGCTCTTCACTTCTCTTTAAAAATTGAAAAAGTTTGAGAAGCTTCTTTAAACCATTTTTCAATGACATTGTTAATTAACAAACTCTTTCAATAAGATTTTTCGTTGAGTTGGTGGTTTTCATAGGCTTTCAATTAATTGTAAATAGACAATTTACTATGAGAATCATAAATAAGAAAAATGAAAATGGAGATTAAATAAGTTTTATCATTTGAAGCTTTTTCCACAAAAGGCTAGATGCTCTAAGCATAGTTGATTACCTTATCAATCCTCATAGCAAAACCTACTATGAATTATGGATAATCTCAGTTTTGGATTGATACGAAATCCGTTGATACCAATTGTTTTACAGTCCAATATTAGGAGTTAGGACCGGATACCGATTGTCAATAGACTTTTAAAACTAGCATAATAACCCGATATAGTTTATGCCTCAATATGTAGCCTTTTCATCACTCCCGTGGTGCAAATTCAATCATCTTACTAGCCCAAGAACATGATATACTAAATAATCAAACCCAATAGCCCGATATAATAAATAATCTCCTTTAACAAAAACACTATGCAAATATTTCTCCTTTTTTATTAATTAAAAAATTCTTATTGATCTTTTGTTCTTAGTAGTAAAATTTGTTTTAATTTTATGCAAAATATGACCTGGAGGTTCTCCAAATCTTTTAATCGTTTAAATTAAATAGGAGTGCCTCTCGACGGGCCCAGATGAATGATCACCTGTTGCAATGGCGGGAATACTTTGAACTCCTAGAGATGTTATGGCGGGAAAATTGGCAGTTCAGAACCCATTATACACTTCCTTTCACTTGCACCCCTTTCACTATATACCTGTCATTTGCTTCGATTGCTAGTGTAAGTGTGTAACTACATCAACAACCTTCCATTCATAATGGGTAAAAGAAAGGATTCTTCGGTTCAAGAGGAAGACATGGAAGTAGACGATGAACAACAACAACAAAATCAAGGCAACTCTTCCTCTTTATCCAATGATAATAGAATTATTAAACCACCAACTCACCTAAAATATTTTGTTTGCACCAATGCATCATGTCATGATTCTTCAAAATCATGTTATTCTTTCTTTTCATGTCTACACGATGTGACTCAAGCCTCTACACCAAAACATGTTTGTTTTACTACTATTTCTGATCAAAGCAAAAACCTTGTCATGAATATGAATAAAATTTCTGAACCTACCAGCTTTGAAGAAGAAAATTTGATTCCTGAATGGCGGGATGCTATGTCAAAAGAGTTTGAGGCATTAGAGGCTAATAACACTTGGGTTTTAGTTGATCTTCCTAAGGGAAAGAAACCTATCAGTTGTCGTTGGGTCTACAAAGTGAAATACAAATCAAATGGGGACATTGAAAGGTACAAAGGAAGGATTGTTGTCAAGGGTTTTACTTAGAAACCTGGGATTGATTATACAAAAACATTATCTCCAGTTGTAAAAACGACAACCATTAGAGCATTAATTGTAACAACAGTCAATAAAGGTTGGAAATTACATCAACTTGATGTAAATAACACCTTTCTTCATGGGGAATTACATGAAGACATTTACACGAAACCTCCACCGGGATTGAAAATTTCTAATCCTAATCAAGTTTGCAAATTACAGAAGTCATTGTACGGTTTAAAACAGGCGTCACGACAGTGGTACGCCAAACTTTCTTCTGCTCTTAAAGATATGGATTATCAAAATTCCAAAAATGATTACTCTCTTTTTCACAAAAACATGGGTTCAAGTGTTACTTTTGTTGCTGTGTATGTGGATGACATCATGGTAACAGGAAATAATCAAGAGGAAATTACAAAGTTAAAAATCATATCTTGATAAGACTTTTAAAATAAAAGATTTGGGATCCCTCAATTTCTTTTTGGGTATTGAGGTATTATACACTTCATCGGGTGTTATTTTAACTCAAATAAAATTCACTCAAGACTTGTTGAAAGAGTTCGAATGCACTGATTATGCTTCTTGTCCTCTTCCCACCAATATCAAACTATTACAAGGACAAGGAGATCTTATGCAATCACCAGAAACTTATCGAAGATTGGTTGGTAAATTGAACTTACTGGTTCACACAAGACCCGATTTAGCCTTTGCTGTTCAACTGTTAAGTCAGTTTATTTCTGACCCTCGAATACCTCATTTTGATGCTGCTAAACATGTTCTCAAATACCTCAATAATGATCCTAATCAAGGTTTGTTCATGAATAATAGTGATGATTCCACTTTACATGCCTATTGCGATTCGGATTGGGCTTCATGTCCACAATCTCGAACAAGTGTAAGTGGGTTTGCCATTTTGCTTGGTGACAGTCCAATTACATGGAAATCAAAGAAGCAAATCACGGTATCTCTTTCATCCACAAAGGCAGAATATAGAAGCATGCGTCGTGTCACTGCTGAGTTGGCCTGGTTAACTCGCTTATTCACACAAGACCCGATTTAGCCTTTTCTATTCAACTGTTAAGTCAGTTTATATGAACCTCGAATACCTCATTTTGATTGCTAAAATGTTCTCAAACACCTCAATAAGATCCTAATCAAGGTTTGTTCATGAATAATAGTGATGATTTCATTTTACATGCCTATTGCGATTCGGATTGGGCTTGAGTCCACAATCTCGAATAAGTGTAAGTGGGTTTGTCATTTTGCTTGGTGACAGTGCAATTACTTGGAAATCAAAGAAGCAAATCACAATATCTCTTTCATCCGTGGAGGCAGAATATAGAAGCATGCGTCGTGTCATTGTTGAGTTGGCCTAGTTAACTTGCTTATTACATGAGATTACTGCCCCTAATCTTACACCTGTTCCAGTTCATTGTGATAGCCAAGCTGCTATTCACCTTGCTAAGAATTCTGTTTTTCACGAAAGGACAAAACATGTGGAAATTGACTGCCACTTTGTTCGTGACAAACTCCATGAATGGTTGATTTCATTGAAGCATATTCCAACACAAACTCAGCTTGCAGATTTCTTTACAAAGTCTCTTCCGAGTACACAACATAATGTTTTGTTAAACAAGTTGGGAATTGGTCATCCTCCAACTTGAGGGGGGATGATAGAGTTAGTTTAGTTAATTTTCCCCTTTTACCCTTTTTACCCTTTGTATATAAACTCTTCTTCTGTACTGTAACTTAACAATTTTCATAATCAAAGAATTACTTTTCCCTCTTTTTTGTTCTATGTTCATCAAGAATTTTCCCTTATAAAACATACTTAACTACTGAAGTGGAGTTGAAAATGATATTCAAATGACTAGATTAATACAAACATTAATTAAGTGTGAGTTTTGAAGCAAGTGTTAAATTAAAGTAAGTTGGCAACAATAAAGTAAGTTGCTATTTGTGAGAAATATGACCTAGATAGGTTATGAAATGGATTCTTAGGTAATAAAATACCTAGTAAATAAGATGACATGAGGGTGAAATATCGTATTGATGATAAATGCAAATTTTGGAATGAAATAGGTTTTGATGCATGATTAAGAAACAATAAGCAAGTGAATTAGTGTAATTAGTTATACCTAGCTACTAAGGTGAGTACATGGGGATTTTTACTTGGGTACATAGCAAAACAAGATTCCCCACATGAGAATGTTTTACATCAAATGCTTTAATACTTGAACTATTGTCCTTATGTAAAGTGTTTTGTAAGGAATTGTTAGTAGTCGTGTTTTGAAAGTAATAGCATGTCATATGTTGTTTATGGAGTTTGGTTTAGTGTTCAAAGATTGAACTTTATGTTTTATGATTATGAATGTATCCATTATTTTGAGGAGAGGTTCGGATACGTCCTTGTAACGGGACACAAAAGACACTACTATGATGATACCTTCCTTCACGAAGTAATGGTATAACATTAGTACCTTTAAAAAGTTATCACTCTGTTGGTACATAGTTCGTACTAATATATGAAATGGTACGTACTAATATGCAGAATAGTCTACTGGGATACCCCCCCAATAAGTTTTTTATTATGGGTCTATGATTAATATACATAACAGTTTACAGGGAAAACCCATAAGGTTCTTAGTGATCGTGATTTTCATCATGTTTTGATTGTGTACATTTTCATATGAAGTTATACGGTATAAATGTTTATTACATGATTTCATCTTGCCGAGTCTAAACCAGTGTATCTCACGAGACTTTTGTCTTGTGTATTTTGTTTTTGAAATGTGTTATGTACTAAGGATCGGGAGCTAAGAAATAGAAGGTTGGATTGAGATAAAAGTTTTGGAAGACATAGTGGTATGGAATTTTGTGCAAATCTTTTCGTTGACTATGGTTATGGTATTATGTTGTAAAATGAAATTTGAAGAGAATTCATAGTTTTGACATGTTGATACATCTTTTAATACCAAACACCTATGTGTAAATACTATTTTGAATTTTAACAACGTTCCTACTCGTTGTCCAAATTTCTGGCTTTGCCACCTATTAAAATTCTAAACCATAATGCTTAATTTAATAGCAATTAACATATCTAGTATACTAAATATTATAGTATGATGATATATTAGTTTATATATATATATATATATATATATATATATATATATATATATATATATATATAGGAGTAGGATCAAATGAGAACACCTAAAAGGTTGAGAACGCGAGAACAAATCTTGACCATTTAAATACTTAAATCTAAGGTTATTATTAAACGGGTGATTTTTGAAAAATTCTAAAACTACTGACATTAAAGTGTAACTTTTAAATGGTCAGAAGGGCATAATTGGAATTGCAACTTTACCTATTTCCTATAATTTCTCATCATTTCACCTTCTTTCCTTTCATATTCCCGAATCTTTATCCCCCTCACTCTCTCTCTAGGGTTTCATAATAAAGCCGCCTCCCTCTATGAATTCGGTTCCCTCTTTCCTCTCTTCAACATAGTCGCTGCAGAAGATAAACACCACCACCGCAGATAACCGAATCCGTCAACAAAATAACCACCGGTATCATCATTCAACCTTGTTCCTGATCTCGTTTCACAGGTCACCACCACCGCGACACTTTCCTGATCTGATTTCACCGGTTGAACTGTATCTTAGACAACAAGCTAGTGCTCTCTTCACCGGTGCTGTTAATTTCTCTATTGTGTTGCCGAAAAACCGTGGTTTAAAATAAAGGTAGTGCTCTCTTCACCGGTGTTGTTAATCTCTCTACTAGTTTATATAGATTCAGTTTTTGTTAATGGTTTAAAATAAAGAGCTAATCGATACTAGAATTTCAACTAATCGATACTAGTTTTTGTGTCTCGGTTCCAGAGGAAATGGAAATCGCAGCCCCCCTTCCATTTGTTTCAATTGATACAAGTCTGAGTATGATTTATTCCGAGTAACATGGGTTGAAGAAAAAAAATGAAGAGTACTCCTCCTCCTCTCTCATGCAGACATGAAAAAAATTAATGATTAACACAACAAAAATAGGGGCTTGGCTCTGTGAGTTTCTTATAATGTTTTTTAAATTGGATTTCTTTATTTGCTTCTAAAAATAAGGTGATAAAGATAGCATTTACTATTTTGGTTTTGTTAATAACTGTTTTGATTTGTAATTGATCACCTTCACGCAGACTTGGAATCAGATTCATTGGAAAAGGATGTGCATAGAAGCTATTTGATGAATTTTGTGAGAGAGATATGGTTCATTGAACTTAATGATATATGTAGTATGGGTTTTTCTGAAGGTCCTTTGGAATTTTTTGAGAAGTTGAAAGGTGAAGAATTTGAGCTTGAGGAGAATGAAAAACTGTATTATATTTTGGTGTATTCATCTATGACACAATATGTTTTTACATATGAATGTATTCATATGTGAATGAGTGTTTTCATGTGTGAATGAGTGTTTTCATGTGTGAATGTGTATTTATTTATGATTAGATGTATTCATTTTATGAAGAAATATTTAATTTTTACACTATTTTTATTTTGTATTTATTTATGAATAGCATCATATTTATTTGTGAATAGCAACATATTTATTTGTGAATAGCAGTGTGTTCATATGTGAATGACTGTATTTATTTCTGAATAACATTGTATTCATGTGTGAATAAGTGTATCTATTTATGATTAGAGTTATTCATTTTTTTAAGAAATGATAATTTTTACACTAATTTTATTTTTATTTGATGAAAAAGGCATTGGATTATTTGTAAATTGATGTTTATTCATTTGTGATTGGAGTCGTATTAGGTTTTTTGAATACAATTTTCATTTTTGAATACAATTGTATTGATTTGGAATTGAATTTCTATTCATTTTTTGAAAAAAAATGTGAAATACGAGAAAAAATTGATTTTTTTTAAGAAAAAAAATTAATTTTTTTTTAGTTTTAAAATAAATTTTGGTAAAAATGTTTTTATATTCTATTAATAAGAAAAATAAAAAATTGAATATTTATTTGTTTTTTGGTAACTGATCCTAAATTTAAGGGATTTGATTGAATTTTATTTTATTTTAATTTAATTAAAATATACAATTACTAATATATCCTTATATATTGATTGGTGCAGAACTGTTCTCGCGTTCTCAACCTTTTAAATGTTCTCATTTGATCCTTTTCCTATATATATATATATATATATATATATATATATATATATATATATATATATATATATATATATGAACTTCGACATAAAAGCCAAAATAGGCTCCAATTATGATGACTTGTTTATGTTTGAAATACTTTCAAAACTTGAAAGTCTTACGTTGAGTGACTTTCAAAACATGTTTGTAATAGGTTCACAGAAGCCAATGTTGATGGTCTATAGTTCTCATGACTTTCAATACCTACTTACAATTGGTTTACAAGACCCCATATGGATACTTGTGATAAGATTACAAGACCCAATGCGATGGTATAAGGTAGTGAGGAGTGGTGTCGTCGTTGCTGAGCACTACCTCAACTTTACCTCATCAACATCCAACTAGGAGAAAGACTCGGCAATGGGTTGCTGATGAAGATATTTTTTTGGGTAAATTACATCAATTGTCCCCGAGCATGTGCCAAAATGCACGTTTAGTCCTTATTTTTAAATTTTAACTCGGTTCGTATCTCGTTTGTTTTAAACTTGCACGCTTCATCATTGGTGCTAGCATGCTGAGCTCCACGTCATTGGTGCTGAGCTCTTCACTTCTCTTTAAAAATTGAAAAAGTTTGAGAAGCTTCTTTAAACCATTTTTCAATGACATTGTTAATTAACAAACTCTTTCAATAAGATTTTTCGTTGAGTTGGTGGTTTTCATAGGCTTTCAATTAATTGTAAATAGACAATTTACTATGAGAATCATAAATAAGAAAAATGAAAATGGAGATTAAATAAGTTTTATCATTTGAAGCTTTTTCCACAAAAGGCTAGATGCTCTAAGCATAGTTGATTACCTTATCAATCCTCATAGCAAAACCTACTATGAATTATGGATAATCTCAGTTTTGGATTGATACGAAATCCGTTGATACCAATTGTTTTACAGTCCAATATTAGGAGTTAGGACCGGATATCGATTGTCAATAGACTTTTAAAACTAGCATAATAACCCGATATAGTTTATGCCTCAATATGTAGCCTTTTCATCACTCCCGTGGTGCAAATTCAATCATCTTATTAGCCCAAGAACATGATATACTAAATAATCAAACCCAATAGCCCGATATAATAAATAATCTCCTTTAACAAAAACACTATGCAAATATTTCTCCTTTTTTATTAATTAAAAAATTCTTATTGATCTTTTGTTCTTAGTAGTAAAATTTGTTTTAATTTTATGCAAAATATGACCTGTAGATTCTCCAAATCTTTTAATCGTTTAAATTAAATAGGAGTGCCTCTCGACGGGCCCAGATGAATGATCACCTGTTGCAATGGCGGGAATACTTTGAACTCCTAGAGATGTTATGGCGGGAAAATTGGCAGTTCAGAACCCATTATACACTTCCTTTCACTTGCACCCCTTTCACTATATACCTGTCATTTGCTTCGATTGCTAGTGTAAGTGTGTAACTACATCAACAACCTTCCATTCATAATGGGTAAAAGAAAGGATTCTTCGGTTCAAGAGGAAGACATGGAAGTAGACGATGAACAACAGCAACAAAATCAAGGCAACTCTTCCTCTTTATCCAATGATAATAGCTTGTATGAGGTATCTGATCCGATTCTAAACTTCGATAAAATTTCATTCTTGATTTCAATTGCAGCTGATTGATCATCATTCATTAGCTTTTATTCATGCCATTCTGCTACGATTTTTACACCGAAATAGTCAATCGGTTAAACCCTAAATTTGTTTCAAGAACTCGATCTTTTACCTTTCCAATTACAATTGTAGTTGGATTTGTGAAAAAAAAAACAACAATTTATGATCACAGTTCCACAATTGCTGAATTACATATTTGAACAAGAAAATTATATCAATTAACTTGCTTACACGTTCATAATTAGGTCAAATACATCGTTAATATTCATTTTTAATCAAACCATCTAACGCAAACCATCAATAACGACTGGAATCTCGACATTCCTTTTATCAAATTGTTCTTTACGTTGCTCTCTTGTCCCAAACTGATCCTTCATGCTAGTTAGATACAATCTAATCTTTACAATATGAACTTGTGTTCAGATTCTTGGGGTTGAAAGAACAGCAACTCAACAGGAGATAAAGAAGGCATACCACAAGTTGGCACTGAGATTACATCCTGATAAGAATCCCGATGATGAAGTAAACTTGATATTTACTTTACCCAATTCGAATTTCAAATTATTTCCCAACAATCGTTAACCTGTTTTTAATGTTCTTATCTACATGTAGGATGCTAAAGAAAAATTTCAGCAACTTCAGAAAGTTATATCAATACTTGGTGATGAGGAGAAACGAACACTTTACGATCAAACTGGATGTGTTGATGATGCTGTGAGTAACTTCTCAATTCTACAGTTACAATTTTTCTTTTATATAAATTCAAGATTCTGTGTTTGGTTGCTAATAAATTTGGTTTCCTTTTTTGTCTAACAGGATCTTGCTGGTGACATGGCTCAAAATTTGAAGGACTTCTTCAGATCCATGTACAAAAAGGTTCTATTAATTCAGAAAGATTTACATTTAATCTTACATTCCTAAATCCCATTTTTATATATAATCTCTAAAAACAGTAGAAAATTCAATTGCTCTAGGTCACAGAGACTGATATTGAAGAGTTTGAAGCTAGCTATAGAGGATCTGAATCAGAGAAAACTGATTTAATTGATCTTTACAACAAATACAAAGGTCACATGAACAGGTATATTATAAACATAATCATTTCCTTTTTTCTTGTTTTGTTACAAAATAATTTTCTAAATCTTGTCTTTAATATCCACAACAGACTATTCTGTTCCATGCTATGTTCAGATCCTAAACTTGATTCACATCGATTCAAAGATATCATTGATGACGAAATTTCTTCAGGTAACACCTCTTACTTTGCTCAATAATTAAGTTTTTTATAACATAAAGTCTTTATTTTATTTATTTTCTCATTGTAGGAGAGTTGAAGTCAACCAAAGCATATCAGAAATGGGCTAAACAGGTGTCTGACACAAAACCACCCACAAACCCATTACGTTCTAAGGAGAAGTGAGTCATAAAATAATATTTTTACATTTTTTTCATGCATTAGACTTACTATTAATCATTATTAACAGATCGAAAAAAGAGTCAAATGATCTATATGCAATAATTTCACAACGACAAAGTGAGAGAAAAGGGCGTTTGGATTCGATGTTTTCTTCTCTAGTTAGTAAATATGGTGGAGGGCAACCGAGTGAAGAGCCGAGTGAAGAAGAATTTGAAGCTGCAAGGGAAAAGCTTGAAAAACGCAAGGGTAATAGTAGAAAGTCTAAACAGAATAAGTAAAGTTTTTAAGAGCTCTAGCCTCTAGTGTGTGTGGAACTCAATGGCATTTTCGTGATTTGTAAGATAATTTTTTAGTCCGGTATATTGTGGATTTTACTTGTTTCATTGATTGTTAATTGCGTACAATTATTTTTGTTTTGTTGCAAAGGTTTCTTGGTCTCTTTAAATGTTTATGTATTGTCACTTTGGAGTGTTTTCCATCATTAAAGTTAGAGTGAATTATATAAATGGTCGTTGTGGTTTTTGTCCTTGTGCTTAGTTTTTTAACTCTCACCTTACCCAACTTAAAATGACTTTTTTGCCTATGTCTGAGTTCGTTTTTGAATTTATTAGTATTTAATAATCCACTAAACGGGGATTTAGAAAATTAAACCCCTACTAATAACCTAGGATTCCAAGCTATCCTATATACAATAACGCTAATCATCTATGATCTAACCTACTTTGTTTCCAGTTGGCTTTCTCCAATAATCCTAAACTAGAATTCACATTGATCTAGATATGGTTTTGAAGAAAACCAATTGAAATAAAAAGAGACCGAGTTTGGTGAAATAGAATTCAAATTGATCTCTAATCGAATCGTCATTACCGAAACCGCTATTTGATGACCTTGTCGTTGCGACCCTCATAAAGTTATGTATTGCACTATTTTTTGAAGTTTGAACCATACTTGGTTAAACAAATGTCACATACTTTTGTAAAAATATGATTATTTTTTATTAATCAGTGATCGGTAGAAAAACCTTTTTCATTGAATATACCTAAACTGTAGGTTATATTTTACTTTATAAAAAAAAAATCCTAGTCATTTTATTTTCTTGCCATTTTTTTAAATTTTGGGTATGGTGTAGTTGTAGTTGACAGCTAGAAGTTGTAACTTTATTTTGGGTATGTTTAAAATGACTTTAAACATAAAAGCAAAAAGTTTTCAAAATCTACTTGTAGTAGTTTTCAGATTAGGAACTTTTTGTCTAAAATAAAAGCTTTAAGCTCATGAAACAATACTCACGGATGAAACAATTTCTTTAATTTTGAGGTTTTTCTTAAAGTTTTATAAAAGCTCTCAGACAATTCAATTGCATCTTTTCTAAGGTCAACACGACTTACATGACAATAACATGTTTGAAGAGTCATTTGGATGGGCTCTGTCAACCTTCGGTTGTCAAAGTGGTCAAACCCTATTACAACAAACTTACGGGCTTTGTAATCCATTCACGGACCAATTCGGCATCGTACATCCAAACTGTGCCTTGCTAGGTCAATGTTTTTTTGACTTGGATCGGTGCCATATTTGAGTTCCTTTACACGATGTTTCGATGTGTTTTTTCAATGTGGTATTTCCTTGGTTTTAAAGAAATTACCACATTTCTTGCACAAATCGCCAACAATCACTATGTTTAAATGTCTATCTTTTGCGGCTTAACATTATAGAATGGGAAATGATTTTTAATTATAGAATACCCTTGATTTTTCGTTTGTTTCGTCTAGGTCATTAACTTTTTTAAGTTTTTTCATGTGTTATTATACATAATAATAATAAAAAACATTCCAAAAAACTCAAAACAAATTCATCTTCTTATATAACATAGCCTCAGTTCATACAGTAATACAAGATGACATAAAGAATTAATCCAATACATATATTGAATAATAATGTAATGACGATAACTCTGTATACAGATAAATAATAGACGCAATCAATCCCATCGAATGATCCAGAAAAACAAAATCAGTTTCTGAGAAGAGCGACGAAGGAGAGAACAAGAGAGGTCCCGATCATAAAACTTGACGCCGGAAGAGAGAATGCCGCTCCGGCGTCAGGAGAAGGTGCCGGAGCCATCGCCTGAGCTGACACGGTTGCTGCGGCCGAAAGTGCCACCACAACGAGAACTGATGCCTTCTTCACAATGCTAAGCTGAGCCATTTTTCTTCGAGCAAAAGAAATTGATTGAGGGAAAAATAGCAGAGAGAGCAATGAAGAAGGATGAATAAATAGAGAGAAATTAGGGTTTGTTTGGTGGTGATGCTATTGGGGAAGCTGTTGTATTTATACTACTGGAAAGAGTCGGGATTGAAGGACACGTTAAAGTGACAGCATTACTTATTCTTTATTTATTTATATTTTGTTTAGAACTGCGATAGCATTATTTGCTCTCGACATTGGTCACCTAATATATATATTTAAATTGTGAACCGGGAATAAAAACCGGCGATGAAAATAATGACCGACTTCTAAGTTCTAAACGGTCGACTTTGGACCGGTAATGAAGTAGTTTGCTGACTACGACACGGCAGGTTTTGACGTGTAGATCCGGAATAAACTTTGTTCACATTTATTTTTTTCAAATTTATTTCCAGATATTACCCTTAAACTTTGGACTGTTTACATTATAATCGTACGACAATATTGACAATATGACCATGACCGGTTGGTATAAGTTTTAGTCTGTTTAATGGTAATATGTTGACAAAAAAAAAAACATAAAAAGACTAAATGTGAAAAATAATAAACTATGTTAGCATTATAGGTTATTAACATTATAAAAAAAACTCATTAGCGGCTATAAATATCGCCACTTAAGATAACAAAAGTCGACGGTAAAGTTAATAGCAACGACATGTCGCCGGTAAAGTTAACCATTTTCAGGTACACTACGACATATCAAATTAAGTACCAAAAATGTTATAAAGGTTCAATACATGCAAAATTAAGTAGCAATAGTGTTATAAAGTTATATGTTATACAAAGTCTAACAAAACATAAACTAATCGGTCGTGTCATCGTCTTGGTTCCCTTCATTTCCTCCAATGTCACTTGGTGGTGGCAACGATTTAAAAAACGCATGAAGTGTCTCACTATACTCCAGATCGTTAAGCATTGCTTGAAGATTCTCCAATTACATAATAAATAACAACATAAACTTATATGTTCAACTATCAACATAAACCAAAACTACCAAACTACCAGACTAACAATTACCAAAAAACAAGCAACTATGAATTACCAACATAAACCCTACGAAACTCTAATCAAACTAACAATTACCAAAATATATCTAAACTACTAATTACCAAACTACAATCAAACTAATAGTTACCAAAATGTAGTAAACTATCAAATTATTAATTACCAAACTAATCATCATAAACCAAAATTACCAAAGAGCGGACCTTATTGGATATATAATCCAAGTCGAGAGTAGAGTTACGGGAACAGCCGTCTGATGGAAAACGACTTTCACGTTCGGTTCAGAGAGCACTTTTTTCGTTGAGAATTCCTCGTTCCCTCTCGATAGACCGACCAGGTACAGCATCACATTTTACACCTGGGGAAGGTACAGCCCAACTATGAAGTACATCAGCAGATGTTACAATAATACGTAGATGACTTTTGGCTGGTACAACCACTCAACATGCATTCATCAAAAAATATATATATATTTGAACTTAAATAGTTATGTTTTACTAATGATGACAGTGATTGTGGTGATGGCTTTGGTGATTGTCCTTCATACCCGGTCGACGTCATGACAGAAAGTTTACGTCCGATGCCATTAATATGGCTGCATCGAGCACCTAATACTTTCTCAAATGAAGCTATTTGTTCATGTGGTGATAGAGCTCTTTCTTCGTTTAACCGTTGAGTTTGTTCTTGGAGCCCGCACACTAAATCATGTTGTATTTTCCAAAAATAAATAACATTCTAGTATAAATAAATACTTATATGATAAATTTATTATCATATACTTACTAATGCTCCTCAGCTAAAGAACCGTCAAAAACATTGATCTTATCAATATGAGCATCATAGAATACTTATACTATACTATTGTTCTATTTAACATTAAAAATTGATTATATTTTAAATAAACAATTACATATATCGTAACTTAAATTTTTATAAGAAACACTGCTATATGAGCTCACCCCCTATGGTTTGTGTATTTTTGTAGTACATAAATTTTTTTTGTTTGCCTTCAAAGCCCTTTTATGTTCGCCCGTTGGAAATACTCGATTGCTTTATCCCAATTATTAGAATCCATACCTTGAGGGTTGGCTAATGCTCTCGGTATTGATGGGTTTTATAGGTTATAAATACATGTACAATGCGGAAAAACACTTAGTAATTAAGAGGGCACATGCAATGTCATAACACTTTGAAGGCAACATACCATGAACAACAAAACTAACATAACCCTAATAAATTCGAAATCATGGAATTAGAGTTACATACCGTTGATTTGTTGTAGTAAACAAATTACTTCAATCCTTTATTACCTATTCTGGGACTTGGTCAATCACTGGCTCTAGCAAATTTAATGTTCATAGACTACTAGGTAAACAAGTATATGCAATTAAAGTGATCATTCACCTACACAAAACTTGGAATCTAAGCAACAAAGATTGAAACTAATAACGTGCTAGGCTTTGATATATCAAACACAAGCTAAAACAACTTCATAAAATCCATGAAAAGTATAAACTAACACACAATATTAGGGTTCATCATTACTAAACAAAACTCTAATGATTTAGATCATAATTGAAGAAAAGAAACACATAGGAAATTAGGCTAGACATGATCAAATCTAAGAAAACCGAATGAATGATGTGAAATCTTGCTACAATCTCTTAGTATCTTGATCTCCAATCTTCTTATGCCTTCCAAGAAATTAATTTTCATAGGTTTTCTGTCTAGAAGTCGTATAGATCTCCAGGTTCTCCCTAAAGTTGATATAATGATCAATATTTAAAGTTTTCCTCAAATCGGTCTTGATGTCGTGATGATAAGGGTGTCACGAAGTGGCCTTAGTGTATAGCCCCTATTCGCCAAGGAAACTGTATATCTCCATATAAGAATCTTCTAGGACACGTGGTCACGACGTGAAAAGCAATGTGTCACGTCGTGAGAATGATTTTTCTGGGTTTCGAGAGTTTTCTTGATGCCATGCCGTGGGATTCATAACGCCACGTGGTGGGAACTTTCTTTTGCATGATTTTCTCTTCCTTAATACTCCTGGTTTCAACTCCATTCCTCCAAGTATCCAACTTTTGTCATTTTCAGTCCTTTTTGTTAAGAATGTCGTTTTTGGCTACAAAATACAATTTAACTTAATAAGTACCAAATATCTTTTCATTTTACAAAAATATAGCTTAATTTTATTAAAATAATGCCTAAAAATGTGTATAAATATGTCAATATCACTCCCATTCACGAAGTTGATGTCCTAATGGAAATGATGCCTCGGTGGATTGATTTGTCTTTCCATTTTGGTTTAGACTTGGGAGTGGTTCCTTTATTGGACGTAGACCCTAAGTATAAAAATGGCAACAGTTTAATATCAGAATTTGCCCTTAATAAAAAAAGGAATGTAATGTGAAAATGAATGTATTTTGAATTATGTTATGTGTAAGAAGGTTAGGGTTTGTGGTCGAGATTTGGATACCAACTTGGATCGTGATATCACTCTCCGAACTGATATTTCTACCCTATGCCTGGGTTACAAGAAATTCAGCCTAGGATAATCCAAGTGGACACTTACGTTTCTAGGCACAGAAGACGTAAGCCAATATGCTAGAGGATTCTGTGAAAGTATGATGAAACGAGACCTTAAGGTCGTCCCTTATTCTGTAGAGGAAGAGTTGTTTATATATTAAACAAGATTAGGGTTTCATTAGGATTGGGCCGTCATTAGTCGCTTTGGAAGCAAGTAATATCAATCCGGATTTAATGAGGATTTAGGGTTCCCAAAAACTAACGATTTTTGTTAGTTTTACCATAATCGCCCTCAAAAAATTGAATTTTCCGTTAGTTTTACCATAATCACCCGCTAGGGGCGCTGCCCCTTTGGAAACCCCGAACCCGGGCGCGCTGCCCCCGGACTCCCGACTAGTCGTCGAACCGGCTTCTAATTCCCTCTTATACATGCGTGCACTCCGCACAACCCCGTACATATAATAGAGTACAAATTATGAAGCCCCTTAGCGCACATGTTAGTTCCAGTTACTTAAAATGACATGGTGACACTAAAATCACCAACAATCCTCCCCCATTTTAGTGTAACCCTTGAACAAACATAACCTTTATCAAACAAACCAAACTAGTACATAATGAAAATATCGAAACGATTGAATTTCCACTTAGTATCATACATTTGCAAATACTCGAGAATCAGGGTGTTCTAAGAATTGAACCCATCAACCCATTTGAATACCAGAAAGTAAAATACATACTAGTTTATTGAATTTCTAGCAAATTATAACTTGACACTATTATAAAGCCGTGTATCCCAATCCTCTCATGATCGTATCAAGGTCAAGTCCACAACCTCTTGAAATGCGGCTACACTTCACAATCACATAGGTAACTCCTTTCCATGTATCTGCACATACATTTATCAAAGGAATTATTAAGAAGTTAAACTTCAACCTGGCTAACTTGCAGAACCGAACACATACCTGGGATGAATAGTTCACGTGTTCCAATCTATAAGTATGAGCTTTCCACATTGAATTCAACTCCTAACATTATATTAGGAGGGAATTGGGTGTCTCATCATTATAGAATTAAATGGACTTTAATCCCATCCCGATTACAGACTTGTACACTAAGTCTGTTGTCAGACCTTTAGTCAAGTGATCTGCCAAATTTTGTTGCGATTTCACAAACTCAACCGAAATCACACCATTCATGATTAATTCTCTAATCACACTATGTCTAACACCTAGGTGTCTAGACTTGCCATTATAAACCTGACTATATGCTTTATCCAAAGCGGCAACACTATCGCAAAGGATAGAAATAGGTGCTATCGGTTTAGACCACAAAGGAATTTCATAGACTAAA